TACCTTACAGTCGACCCTGTTCACACGGTCTGTTGTGATATTGTAGGACCACCTGCTTACATACCTCTCAATTCCTGTCTGCATACACTGTTCATATAAGAAGGGCATGGTAAAAGCTGATCCAGATGGCTGTTTATTCTTACAGAATTTCTCCCAACATAGACCTTCCAGACTATGAAATACAGACTGTCCATAGGTCAATTAAGAGAATATTACTAATAATGCTTATTTTTGTGCATTTCTAAGGGAGGGAAGCACCCTAGTTAAGGGCAAACACTTGTGGAAATATGAAGCATCGCCAGCAAATTGTATCTTAGCTGATCTTCACAATCCCAGTGGTATACAAGGAAGAAGTGGAAACATAGCAGAACTATTCCAGGGTACAGAACCTCAGGCCTGGGATCCCAATCTGACCATTCATGGTCCAAATCCAGGCTCTTTTCCCTAGTCCCATGGCCTTTTCCCAGATCAGCAATCATCTGATGGTTTCTTGGCTTTTCAACCCATTCTTAAAGATTGAAATGAATTTCCTAATAACAAGAGCTTTATGCTAACATATACTAGTACCTTTGGCCCCACCTTTTTAACCTTTAGCACAGCCTCCTTCTGGAATGTGGCCTTTGAGTTGAAAGAAGTGCTGCACCCATGAGGGAAGCAGTTTGAGGATATTGGAGATCAAGGGCAGAGGCACATAAGGGACTCTATCAGACAGTCCCAACCAACACTAGCCAGGTATTTTCCATGTTTTAACCATTCGTTTTGTCCAGGAATGTGTTCCAGTTGCCCAGCTGACGTAGTTCATGCATTGTCTGTCTGAAGCCAGTTCAGTCTCAAGGTCTAAGCACTGAGTCATCAAGTCATCAACCATGCTAATACCTTCAACAAACTTTCAGGGAATGAGACATAAAGCAGTAGACAAAACAAGGAAAAGCACTCTGAGTGAGTTCAAGGTTTTCAGTAGCTGGAATACAGAAATGACCAGTCGGTCTTGAGCTAAGATAGAGATTGTTGAGATTAAAACACAAAGGAATGCTTGATAACTTTTTAATTGACTTATCGCTAAATTCAAGCAAGGAGCAGGAGTTGTCTTTAAGGATAAAAGGTGCATGTTTGCGATCTCGTGTTTATGAACTTTTTGTTGCATTGTTTTTCAAACCTTTACTTAGTTAAAAGAAAGCAACTATGTGTATGTCAGTTTAGGGGTGAAATGTCTTATGAGAGACCTCTTCTTATGTCCCTGGACATAAATTCCAAGTATCCACTTTGGCTGTAATAGTCAGATACATAATTGTTCAAACAGATGTGCGATGGGTTATGGAAAATTATGAATTGTGTTTGCACTATTTAAATTGATAACAAAGATGTTTCCTATCCTATTGCTAGCAATACTGAAAATTTAATAGAGGTTTGAAAGGCAGCCTATATGCAGATTTCAGTGCTGGTCCCCTATATGGTATATCTACAGAATGTATGATGCAGCTGTTATCAATTTCAGTGTGTATAGCTATGCAGTATGTGCTGTAATAATATTCCTTAGGCTTTGGTAACTTTAAATATAACATGATTATCTATAACCAACTGTTAGTTATTTCATCACTCTGTCTTTTAGACACAGTTTTGGCATAATCCTGGTAGAATTTGCCTGGAGTAGATCAGATTGATCTGAAAGTCTCTTACTCTAATAAATGCTTGACCTCTGGGGTTGTTGAATTCACTAGACAGTGAGAACTGGAGAACCAATCACCTTGGTGGTACATCCTGTTCTGCAGCCCTCATTTGATAAAGGCCTTGACTGCTTTCAACCTTTTCAAGATGACTAGATGAAAGCTGCTCTTTCAGAGTGGAAAGGTTAATCGACTACAGTGCAGTTAATCAATCACTTGAAAAGACTGAGCTCTGGTAACTCCTTCTTCTAGCTAGAAGTTCTTGCATAGTCATATGGGACCTTCTCATGCAGCTTAAAGGAAGGACAGGCAGAAACACAGTCCATTCATACTACAGGCACCTGATCCAAACCCCTTTGATGACAGTGATAACTTTAAATGACTTTTTATAAGTCTCCAATGGTAGTAATAGTAACAAGGACAAAGAATTATATAGCTGAGCTCCTGGAAGTAAGCCTGTAAAAGCAGTGTGCTAATCAAACAGGTGCGTCACTACTTGCTTTTTAAGAGGAGGTCTCAAAATGAATACACAAACTGTAATAAAATCTATTAGAGAGTGAATCAATTATTTAGATCCATTTAAAAAGTACATTTTATCATGCAGCCATATCATCTAGCAATTAATGTTATTTTATCCTGCCCAAACTGTAGTTCATACATTTCACGGGAGGTAGCACTAAATAGCATGATGGGAGCATGGGGAAAGGCTTCTGCCCCCATTCTTGGTCTCCATCGCACTACCTTCTGTGTGAGCCGACCTTTACATATAAACAGCTGGTCATGAAAATTTGCTTTGATTATATAAACTGCTCCTCCCCTGTATCACATACTCTTCACATGTGAAGCTGTTTACACAGAAAGCCCTTTGTTTGGTAGAGGAGAGGGCCTTGATCCCCTTCCACACTACTACATCATCATCTTGGCTGAAAGTATATACAGGGGCAAAGTTAGGCACTTTTACCTCTCACGGGTTTGTGAGACAATACAGAATATGCTTAAATTCTACTGAAATGCAACTACAGGCAATGTGTAGGTGTAGAGCCCATTTATGTGATGCACAGAGATCGCAAAGAAGAATGTAACTTCGCTTGGCACATGCTAATAGCCAGGAAGCAAAAAAGATGCAAAATACTTGTTTAAAATAGAGGGAGACTGTCTAATAGTGTTGCCTGTAATGTTTTTCATGTAGCTAGTTATTCCCAGTGTAAGTTATTGACCAGAAAGAACAAAGTTTAACAAAGGGAAGCTTCCAGATAAAATTAAGTGTTTTAAAGGAACTTCAGCGACCTAAGTGAATTTAGGGTTAAGTCTCTCCCATTGGCATTAGTGAAATGCAACAGATACTCATGACTATGCCCAATATTCATTGTGGGGTCACCATGGGAAAGTGTTCCTGACTGCAATTAGCAAGTTACTAAGAATAATCTATTGAAATCAAAGAAACTGTCAATAAATAAGCAACAAATGACCTACTGAAGTCATTTTCAAGGAGAAAACAAGAAATAAAGTAGTCTTTCTAGATAAATCAGTGCATGATCTCATTTGTGCAACATACAAGGTTCTTGGATTTCATGACTTAAATGAAAATATGCTAAACCAGCATGCTTCATACTTGACTATGTGTCTTCCAGATGGAACATATGTTACTGATGACTGGTAACCAGTTTCATGCATATTTTCATTCAGCAGAGATTGCTGAAAAGTAAAAATGTTTGTGGACTCTCACTGATCCAAGTCCAGCAAATAGAATGGGACAAGAGGATAAAATTAGCAAAAATGGTGTGAGCTTACTAATTAATTAATTAATTAATCAATTCTACTGCTATCCTGTTTTTATCCATGATCATGGATGCAAACTTGGGATAAAACATTAATTGAAAATAATATAACATCCCATTCCAAAAACATAATATCTGTGTCTACAACAACCAAATTAGGACCCCAAGAGTATGGAATGGGCTTCCACGGGAGGTGGTTGAGGCCCCATCGGTGAAAATGTTCAAAGATAGGCTAGACATGCACATGGTGGGCATGTTGTGAGTGGAGCTGGCTGGAGCTGGGGGTCAGACTAGATGGCTCTGGAGACCCCTTCTGACTCACGCTGTTTTTCTGTTTCTAAGCACCCTTCCAACTTTTGGAACAGGAACACTGCCAAAGGATTGAGCCAAATAGGCTTCCCAAAGAAAGTCACATAACTGTTGAGCTGAACCACCTCAAAGAACTTGGCAGAGTATGGAAAAAGCAGTGGAGGTTTCCCCATAACAGATTATGCAGCTAGCTGTTAGAACTTCACACACGTGGATTCTCACCAATTAGCTATTTAGTACGGAAGGAGGAGATCAGACCTAGCCTTTCCATCTTGAACCACTGACTGGCAGGATTCTGGTGTTTTAAGACAAGAAATGTGTGCCTGGCTCTATACCTGGGGAATGCTTCAACACTCCTATGTTCATCCATAACATCTACCTCAGGGCTACAGATCCTCAAGCTTGGGGGCTGAATCTGGACCTCTGGGATTCCCTAGAAAGCCACATCCCCCTTCTAAAACCATGAATTTTGATGGTTTTCCAGCATTTGTTCAGTTTTTGACCATTCTAAGATATTGAAATGCATAGATACTGACAGAACCATAGATACTGACAGTAAGAGCTTTTAGCTAAAATAGGCCTTACTTTTTATATTTTGGTTTGACCCTTTTCCCTTCAGCCCTGTCCACCACAGGGATGTGGTCCCCATGACCTTTTTCAAAATAGAATTTGGTGCTCAGGCTGAAATAATGTCCTGAGCTTAGCTAAGGAAATCTTCCCAACTACAAGGTACAAAGCCCGTATGTGTGATGCCCAGGGACCACGAAGAAGTGGCAGAGGAGATCTTCACATTCCTCCTTTTTCTACTCTCTATTTTTCCTAGGATGTGATTTTCAGCTGTCTAGTGATGGTACTTAGGAGGAGGAAGATAAATCCCAGCATACATCTTTTGGCCTGCCTGGTCTCCTTTCCTCCCCCCCCCCCCCCCCCCCCCCCCCCCCGGCCACAATGCCTAGTTCTATTGCTTTCTGAAGTGGCTTTCCCAACCTCTGAGAGCAGCTGGTGCAGTTCTTTCCAAACCAGCTGTGAGAGAGCAAGGAAGAACCCTGATCTATAAGTCTGATGTCAGAGCAGTATTGGATTGACCTCGGAACTGGTAATATGAAAAATCCTATGGCCCCTCAAACAATGTAAGCGGCCATAGGATTGCTCCTACCAGTGGGGCCTGACTTTGTACAATCAAGGTAAGCGCTGCAGTTCTTACGTCTGTAAGTTAGTAAAAGCGTAAAAAGACTGCTCAAACAGGAAGTATTTAAAAATCTTGCAATTTTATTTGCATATAAAGGCCGCTAGATATATAATATCGCAATAAATTTAAAGAAACAACTGCTTTCCTAAATTCCATGAAGATAACATAAAACAGAATAAAGCTCAATAGCATTTACAGTGGTAGAACAGAAATAACTATTTGCAACAATATTTTGTGCTAGCAAGATTGCATTTACACACAGTGCAAAATAAGGGAAAAAAGAAATGGAAAGACAATTCAAGAATATTTTAAATATAAAGGACAACAAAGCCTTATTTTAGTTAGGCTTGATTGTATTCATTTGATTCTATACATGCCTGAAACTGCACAAAGATTTTAAACTCAAGCTCTTGAAGGCCTTGAGCACTTGGAAAAACAATGTCACATCCTTCATAATTTAGATGTGCTGTACAGCATAATTTTGCAGATGCTACACAGGCAATATTAAATGCCTTGCTTAGTTATAATGCACAAAAAATATATATAAAATCCATATTTAAAAGAAGTCCGCATTTACATGTTTTTACTGCATGGAACACCTGCTCATTGCAGTTTTCATCCCCGTATTTTTAAAGCTAAAATAATTTAAGAAACTTACCCAAACAGTGACAATTTAGGTAATCACATACAAGATGCTGCTATCTAATTTGTCATTAAAGCAGGCAGAGACAAACTAAACCTAAAAGACTATTTCCCTCTCACTTTTTGTATTACCATTAATAGGTAAGAGTGCTCTGCAGTAGACACAGGAGCTCCAATGGGCCTGAAAGTCTTCCTGACTATGATTGACTTCTCCATCCTTGTCTGTGGAAAGTGCTGGGCCTCACACTTAAATGAGATTCAACACCTACTGAAATGAATGGTACTTCTTCCTGTTTACAGCTCCATGATCACAATCCAACACTATGGTAGACATCCTCAGGGCAAAATCTAGTGACCTCTACATTGGGTGCAGATAAGCCTGCACCCAGTAAATCTGGGAGGATGACATGCATCCAATGCAAGAAGTATGCTATGGCAGCAAGTTCCACCACCATTGCCTCACCTCATACTATGTATTTCACCTGTATGGCCAGTTTTGGTCATCTAAATTAAGTGCTAGGGGGTAGGAGGACATGAGTTTGGCAAACCAATAGGAACTGATTCAAGTCATCAGCTCCCGCATCCTCCCATACCCACCACCTAGCACTCCTGTTTTTTAGCTCTTTGAGACCTAACTGCACACTCAGAAGCAACCGGGTTAATTCTCTCCATGTTAGCTGCCAGGAGAATGGGGAGGTTGCAGAATCTTGGAGCTGGTACACTGAATAATCCTATGGTACCCAAGCCAATATTCATGAGGCCAAAGGATTGTGGCCTTAATCACATTTATTTCAATAAGTATAATCACATTTCTCTGTGTGCTGGACTGTAGACCATATTTATCTAGGAATAGACACAAAACTTTGGGTCAGGATGCATTTGCGTGATGGTAAGTATGGGGAATGAGGAGAGGGTAGCATTTTATCATTAGAAATATTTTTTTAAAAAACAAACAAACAATAACAGTTGTGCAAATTTGGGTCTTTTATTTTTTTAAGAACACTGCCTTTTAAAATCTTATTTAATAATATTAAAATAAGGTGTCTCACTCATTAAAAGAAAGCTTGGCTGTCCTTTTGAGAACATTTAACAATTTACAATGGCAAGTTAATTAAGAAAACATAAAACTTCATTTTACAAATTCACAATGTTTTATCAATCTCAAATGGATGCTGCATTTTCAAAAAAGCACAACCTCTATCTTTTTTTTCTCCTTTGTACCAACAATTTACAAAAAAAGCCCCACATTATTTGTAAATAAACACATTAAGAGAATGGATGTTTTTTAATTAGAAAAATGGCAGTTTATAGACCTTTTCCCAATGCCGTGGAGCTTCATGATCCTTGCGGGGTTGGGAGGTCAAATATAATTGGTGGGTTGGTTGGTTGAAAGCTGACTGTACATGTTGAGGCATTAATGTATGTTGTGTAACCGTCTGTCATAATGCCGTAACCTGTAGGGAAAAGATGTCACATTTACTATACTGTAAACAAACAATGCTGACCTAGTACAATGCCTCCGGATGACAAAATGAAAAGGCTTCTTGTTATCTGGGTTTTGGAATCAAGTTCAGCTAAGCCTTTCAAAATGTTTTCAGTAGTCCAAAGATAACACATTATTTTGATTTTTAAAAATACAGTAGGCTGTTGCTTTAATAAGAAACTTTTTAAACAGTTTTTAAAAACACTTTTCAAGGTATTAAAGCTATAGGTAAATAAAAGAGGGGTTTTCTTCCATAGCTCCCTTGACTTTGTCATCTGGAATGTTTCAATAATACAGCACCTAAACGTTCAGGCAATATTTACTACCCAATCCTATTGTATTTACTCAGAAGTACATCCTATTTTGTTAAATGGAATTTATTCCCTGATAATTAAGCATGGGAGCTTATTTTCCTTTCAGTCAGTGACAAATAAATCTGACAAGCAATCAGTTAATTGGTTCCAATTCAGTGAACCTCCAATTCAGGGGTAGTAATATTACTAGAAGAAATGGGAGCCTCCCTTAAAATCAGCAGGATGATGCATGGTACAGCCCTGTGCTGAAATCCTTCATCAGGCAAACACAACTAGTGCTTGCTTTATTACTCCTGTCTGTGATACAGACAGGCAGGAATCGATCATCTCAACAGATTTTGGGGTAAGATGTGTGTTTACTGTATACTCAATATCCTCAAAAAGTGTGTCAATGGACCTTCAGAGAGCTGTCACATTTGATGTTCGCAGTAGAATGCCTACTCATATATAACACTGTTTGGAAGTGAGTGGGAGCCTCCCCCTCCCCCGTTATCCTATCCCACCCACATTATCCTAGGATCCGGAGGGGAAGCAGAGCTCCCGTCTACTTCGTGATGCTTCGGTTTGGAAGTTTCTCCTCAGTCTAGGCCTTGCGCTGCATGGCAAAGTATGATGCACAGAGATGACAATGAAGTGTAATAACTAAAGTGTTGGCTTAATGAAATGACCCAGATTCTTACTTTGCTGCAAGCAAAGGGCGGAACAATAATAATTGCTGCTGTAGCACTGAGTGAGGATACTCTGTAGCAATGGGTGTATGGCTTAGGAAGTACAGTTATGCAATTTCCCTCTGACGTAGCTGATCTAGAACCGTTTCTGCTCTCTGTTGCTGGTAATGTGAAGATGCTGTTAGGTTTTGTGATCATTATATTCTATTGAAAGGATGACAGACAAATTCATCTGATCTATGTATCCTGATCAAGCTTCTGCTTCTTAAGATGGTGTTTCAAACTTGATCAAGTTTGAATAAAATATATTTTTCTTATCAAAGGCAGATTCTTGTCTAGACGCAGAACTGGGCTTCCTGCAGGGCTCCCCAACTGGGCCTATGGAACTTCCTTGGGTTTCTCCAGGGGAAAGGTCTAACCTCCTTCCCTGAAGGAATGCCTGGGATTAGAGATAATTGTGGAGATATGGATGCCAGGGAACATGGCAGGCACTGCAAAGAGCAACTATGCAGTGCCTCCCTGCACCCTACAGGGCCTCTGCTGGTACAGGGAAGAAGCTGGATCTTATTCTGCTCATTGAAATGCAGGAGCTTTGTGTGTGTGCTGGATGGTACAATTAATAGAAGTAGCATCTGCACCATCTTACTGCTCTGAATGCTCATTAAATTCCTTTTATACCTACCGCATACATTACCAACCTAGTTGTAAACTTAAATTGTACAATGCTGTTGTCTCACACTAGTTTTTCACAATGATCTCCCATGCAAAGAGCCCTTTCCTTTCCATCAGTTTAATATTAATGCCACTGAAAGTTTGATTACTTTCAACTAGCACTACAACTACAAAAACTGCAAGCAATTTGCATACTGTAGTTAAGTCTATTTTTTTCTTCTTCTGGCATTCACTTAGCATTGATGTCTGAACATTAATATTTATACAAAAATGTTCCATCTTTTCCACAATGCATAATAGTACTTGTATGGATGCTACTCCGGTTAAGGCTCTGTCAGTGCTTTTCATTACAAAGTCCTTGTTTACAAGACTTTATAACCCAGGCATAAAAACTCATTTGCTTTTAAGTCATGTGGACTTGGGTAAAATCAACAATGCCAAGCAACGGAGGCATCTTCTCTCATCTACAGAGTTCTCCAACTCTGCGAGCCTATGGAGAGCTTAATTAGAGACGGCAGAGAAATCTCCAGGAGGGGTTAGGAAAGTGTGAAAAAGCATTTAAATGTGTACACTTTAGTTTTAGGGTCACAGAGTCTTGCCCTCTTTCCCAGACAGCATGCCTAGTATTTATCTCACTAGGATATAAAAGCTACTAAAGTTCATTAAATATTTAAAAACCCCACACAATGTATTTTAAAGTAATCTCTCACTGCTTCTTACCAGGCTATGGAAGCTAGCTTATTAAACTAGAAATTGCCCTGCTTTGAAATTAATACTAGCAGGATGTTTTGAAAAGCTCATCTGAAATATCTACAAACTATTTTTAATGAATTTTGCACTATATTTTACGTCTTCCCTCCAGAATTTGGCCTACCTTGTTCACATCTTGAATTTTCTATTGAAAAGATACACAAAACGAAGCCTCTTGCTGAACAACATAGATAGTATCTTCCTTGAATGGGTATATATTGTTTATTATATTTATATCTTGCCTTTTTTCCTATTAAGGAACTCAATGCAGCTTACATAATTCTCCTCCTTCTCTCACACATATTTTTGCAACAACCCTGTGAAGTAAGTTGGGCTAAGGAACTGTGACTGGCCCAAATGTCACAGCAAGCAGCGAAGGCACACGGTCTAGTGCATAGCCCTCTATCTGCTCTGCACAACTTGCATGGTCATACTGATGCACAATTCTCCCCTCGCCATGCTGCCTCAGCTTGTCTGAACAGTATCTCCCACTCTCCCAAGACTGTACTAACCAATGATCTGGAAGCACCAGGGGTCATATATAGGCTTTGCCCAGAGTGTGACTGACAGTGTGACCCAAGTTCAAGAAAGAGTCTGTCCTCACCTTCCTGTTCATGGCTTTGGAATCGATCTTAGAATATGCCATGCTTTTCAAAACCGTTTTATTAACCACCTTCCCTGTCACACTTAGACTCAATTAACTAACAGCTCAATCAGTGCTGGCCTCTGACATGTTGCTGCCTGGAGCAAGAGGCCAGTACTTTAAATTCTTGCTGTATCATTCAGACACTAATTTCTGCTTTTGCATGGCCACACAGAAACACATGCATGAGCATTGCCCCATGGTGAGTGCCCGATCACTCCTTCCTCCTAAGTAGGGCTAACATCACAATCTTAGCATGTTTATTCAGACTTAAGTCCACCAGGGTTTACTGTGGGTAAGATCACAACCTAAATGATCCAACAGTAATGAGTTCAGAATATTCTTGCCCCTTTAACCAATAACATCCTTTAGGATGGGACCTTATGGATTTTCTGACAAATAGGTGTAAGACAGACAGATGTCCTTCCTTTTAGTGGAGGATTAAAGGAGAGGGCATTTTGATCCCTCCCCAAAGTATAAATTCCACAATTGTCCACCATTTTATCCTATAGTCCTACTTCTTTCTATCACAGATTTGATGGTATGTGGTGGTTTTGCATTATTTTGTTATAATTATTTGTATGGGCATTTAAACACTAAGTGGTCTGAATTTATTTTGGACTTGCTTTCACAAATATCCTCCTATCAAATCTATTTCTTACCTTCATGGATTCCACCAAAGACATGGAGCTTGGGCCTGACTCTCCTTTGTACTGTATTTAACAGTTCCACACAGCCAACTCTTTGCAGCTCCTTTGGAACCCAGTCTCGAAAACCTAAAAGCAAAATGTAATCAATACCCTTAATTTTCTCTTTTCAGGTAAGGTTTCATGTAGACTTTCTGGAAGCCATAACTCACTGAAGGTTTATTGCATTATCTGTAACCCTGACATCTCCATTAAAGCATACAATGGCTTTTAAGAAACTTTTCATTGTCACGGTGTCTCTTTTAGGTTTCTTGTCCCCCCCCCCAATTTGAAGTATGCCCCCTCCTTCCCGATTAACATTTTTCTTCACGTAATTTGATTTATTAAACTACAGGTATAGATTCTTCTGCATAACATGAGGTTCTATGGCATTTATTCCCGGCAGTAGTGATTCTCCCCATCCCCTCCCCGATTCTTTTCTTAGTGGTTTTTGCTAGACTTGTTAGGTAACAATTGCTTATCATGGTTACTTTTTCCACATACTGGACAGCATTAGCTTTGGGCTCTCATATGAACTCAACAGTGGAAAAAAGGATCTACATATGATCAAGCACATGTGCCTCCCTGGTTCTTTTCAGTCTTGAGGAATATTCAGCACATAAATATAATTATGTGCAAAAGGTATTCTGCAACACTGATGAGAAAGGGGCAATCCCTCTTTTTGCAAAGTCCTCTATTGTGGCCCTTTCATTCTGAATATTTGGAGTGGAACAGGCCCTCCCATTATTATACTCTTCAATGCATTAAAAGTATGTGATGAAGAGAATGGGGAAGCCTCCACCAGGAGCCACACACAGTTGAGCTGTGTCAGAACATTAACTATCCATGACTTTCAAAGAGGCAAAGTCTGCTAATACAAAGTTATCCTGTGACCTGGCAGCTAAAAAGGAGCCCAAGGCAATAGCGAGAGAACTCGTAGCAAGTTGGTATTAATTGGCTATTGGGAAGGATAAAAACACTAAGTTTTACAGATAATGCAGAAAATCCATAAAACCTGACATCAACTATTACAAAGGTCTGTGGTCTGGAATATTCATAAAAATGAGAATGGCAGACTGACCTGAGAGGGGGAACAGCTAAAACAAATATGCAAGGAGGCTGCACATTCTTGCTCCATGTTACTTAATCAACTCTAAGGACATATCTGGCAAATGCTATTTCAGGATAGTGGGACATTCATTCACCAGGTTCAAGGAGTATACCCCTTATGTAATTAACAAAAGCAGAGAATGTAAAATTAAAACAGAAATCTTGAATGCTTTTCAGGCATGCACCCAGTCAACTAAGAATAACTTCCTAATTGTAATTTTGGCAGGGGGTTTTAGTTCTTTGCAGCAAAAACAAAAAATAGTCCTGTGGCACCTTAAAATGAACCCACTGATTATTGCATATGCTTTTGTGGACACTGCCAATTCTGTCAGCCAAAATTAAGAGTGAACACAAAAGCTTATGCAATAATCAATGTGTTAATTTTAAGGTGCCACAGGATTATTTCTTGCTTTAATACTTGCAATTTAGTAATTATATGTCATTGTGTAACTCTCAGTCAACATTAAAGGCGTAAACTGCACCCAAAACCTCATGTCATCTTGTTAAGTACTCCCACAAAAGAAAGTATAAATATAATCACATGACATTAAATTTGCTGTATTTTAAGATGTCACTCAAATTGGGAAACCTGCAGCAGCAGCAGCATCTGGTCCTCAGCAAAGAAAGACATGGGGGGAAAGTGAGTGCAAACAGGAGAACCCCAAGCAGCTGTGCACTGCTGCATATGATGCTGCCTGAGGGGAGCAGGTACAGTGGGAGGCCGCTGTGTGTTACTGGGGGAGAAGTGGCAGGACTCACACTGGCTAGAGAGGAGAAGAGTGGTGACTGAGAAACAATGTAGGAGAAGGAAGTAAAGAGGCAGTGGCAACTTTTAGACAAGTGGCTTTTGGCAACACAGGAGCCACTTTTCTATGACTTCATCCACAAGAAAGGTCATGTCCAGCTCCTATGAGCTCTCCCCATTTGACCTGATCGACACCCGAAATCCCAGCTGGATAAATATGTTAGAGGAACCTGTACAGTGGGCCACACCCTTGCTGCAGCACTGTGGGATGAAGCTACAGGCAAGGGGCTCCCACGCCCTTGCACCACATGAAAATTGGAGCAGTGAGATCTCTAGCACATTTGGGGCACATGGGTCATACACAGAAGCTTTCTTACCTACTTCCTCACTTAATATTTCTATGCATGGATTCAGAAACTAAAGTAGAAACCACATATCTCTGAAAGTGATCTGCATTTCCGCAATGCTTCATTTAAAGCAGAATTTTAATCAGCCTCCAGAGGGTCCGCTGCTAACTGGGGAAGGAATGACTGCATGACACAGGTTTTATTGCAGAGTATTTCATGAGTCCAGTTATGGCACCTAATGGTATGTGGTAGAACTGAAAGGTGAGCAAATCCTCTCCCCCACAACACTCAGTGTTATACTGAGTGGCCTATAATGACTAACCTAAAATGAACAGTGGAGACACTCTTAGTTTAAGATCTCTAGACATCACTACTTTCTTGTCACTTACCAAGTGGAGGTCCATGGGTCATTAATATATCAATGCCTTCAGGAATAAGGTTCCACTTGTCCAACAAAGACTGACCTCTGGGTAGGTTAAAGCCCCATCCATTAAACCATGGTGTCCTTTGAAGGAAAGAAGATAAATTGTGTCACTTATCGAAGTAACATACGTTTCTGCATCTCAGATTTGTGCAGCTAGGCAAGCTCTCTATAGGTCATGCTTCCTCAAGATTATGTACTGACAAAAAAGCAAAGAAACAGATTATTATATTGAAAGGGGTGGCAGCCACTGTCATCCTGATGCCACACAATTGGCCACAGTCTCCAAGAAAAGAAAGATGGACTGCTAAACCACCTTTCTGTCACAGAGAGTAGATTTAATACTGAAAAGCGGTAATTTTATATTAATTATACAAATGATGGTTACAGGATTGATTCTTCTGAATAATTACTTCCCCATAGGGCACTGGTGGTTGCCAAAGGTTATTCTTCAAACCATGATGCTTTGCTGGGCAAGAAATATGTTCTGAAAGACTCATTCAGCAAAGCATATACTGAATATACTTACAGTTATTTTCAGGATTTAGGTTTTGCCATGCTATAGCTATGAAAGACTGTGGGAGAAGTATGAAAAATAAATGAAGAATATCCATATGCCCACACAGCTCTGAGATTCTCTACTGCTAGAGAAAGGAGCACCACTGACAACCTATGTTCCATACAACCCTTCTGAGTGACAGAAGAAAAGGAAACCGCCTGTTTATAACTGACAGTCTCAGGTCAATGTATGAACCACCTTAAGCTCCTGCTATCCTAATCCCCATGCACTAAATCTGTTTGTCCAATATAACAAGAAGATCTGAAAAAGTACTAGACTAACTTTGTATCCAACAGTTTGCCTGGTGGCTGTAAACAGCCATCAAGTCCATGCACAAGAATAAGCAGACTAGCAGAGGATGACAAAACAGGCTATTCCATTTCCAAGCTAGCTGCAGAGGACAAGTATCTTCCATCGTGATCACTGGAAACTCACAGTGGGGTAGCAAAGGAAGGACAAATTGCTCTGTCCCTTTTCTTCTGGTTGCTTGCTAGTTAGTATAAATGTCCATCCCTGTCCCCGCCACCAACCCTAGACTAAATGGCTATCCATGTATTAGTGCCTTTTGCTTCCTCTGAGCACAGCAAAGAAACACAAACTGCTAGCTCCTTCACAGGCTAACAGAAAAATATAGCAGGCTAATCACTAGTGTAGGCATGCTTACCAGGCTTTATTAGACCTGCTATCAGTTTTTCCCGCTCCCTCCCTCCCCTTTATACCAGCACATTATCCCTAGTTTGCACATGCATGCTTTTCAGTAGAGTTGGAAAGCTGTTAAGCTCACTGGCGTAACAGGTTAATAATTGTCTCCAGCCCAGTTTTGGTGAAATACCGTGTTTCCCTGAAAATAAGACCGGGTCTTATGTTAATTTTTGCTCCAAAAGATGCACTAGGGCTTATTTTCAGATGATGTCTTATTTTTTCATGTACAACGATCTACATTTAGTCATGTACAAAAATCTACATTTACTCAAATACAGTCATGTCATCTTCCTCTGGAGCATTGTCCTAACTCTTCAAACCCTGAACTGTGTTGCGACGGTTGTACTAAATGCGTCTGTCTGGCTGACGATCTTAACTGGGGGTTATTTTGGGGGTAGAGCTTATATTATGAGCATCCTGAAAAATCACACTAGGACTTATTTTCCAGTTAGGTCTTATTTTCGGGGAAACAGGGTAACAGTCATGGCTCAGTTAAGAGTTCAAATCAAAGTTCCAACTCTACGATGCATTTCTTCTGTAAAGCCAGAACTCCTGATTTGCAAACAATGCTCAACAAAGTTTGTAATGGAAGAAATCAAGAAATTTATTCACAACACCAGCAACAACAATCCCAAGGCTCAAAATGGCTAGGAACACTATAATCAACATCCGAAGCTTTCTTCGAAGTGCCACATATGAAAGAAGCTTGGAAGGGCACAACACAGGGAAGCCCTTCTCCGTGGCAGTCCTCCCAAGTGTGGAATGACCTCCCCACGGGTGCCAAGTTTGTCCTCCGTTTGGCACTAGCTTTAGACAGCTCTCTACACTGAGGCATTTAAAGATATTCAAGATATTCAACTGACTGAGCAACCAAGTCAGCTCTTTTCAGGAGATCTACTCTGCATCAAATACTGTTTTAGCTGTTAAATTATTTTTTTATTTTGTACTTTGGCAAAAGTACCAAAAATGTACCAAAAATGTTGTGGTGTTGCATATTGTATTATGGCCCTGTTTTAAGAACTGTTGTAAACCCCCTGAGTATTTCAGCTATTGGGCAGCAGAGAAATAAACAGAAACAAAATGAAGTCTGGGTTAAGAAGTTAAGAAATGCCATGCTGCATCACACCAAGCGTCCAGCACTCTGTTCAAACAGTGGCCAACTAGCTGCCTGTGGGAAACCCACAAGCATGGAATTCTTTGCAGCTGTGCTTTCTGAACCAGGTCACTGTTCCAAGCCTTGATTTAGTATACAACTGGTTAACCTTCAGGGTTCCTCACAGTAACATCCTTTTGACCTTTGCAAAGCACCTCACCATGGTCTCACAATTATCCATTTTACTGGCCGAACATGTGCACATGAATTGTATCAAATAGCTTTCCATATTTAACTGTGACCTAGACATGACTGGAAGGAATCAACTTGGAAGAAAATTTTCAGACCTTCTTCTCAGTACAGCATGTGCTAGTACAAAGCATAAAGCATCCTTTGCAATATATTAAACAATCTCACAAGCAGTTAATAAATACTGCATATGAAAATAACTGAGAATGCCCCAGAGATTAAACTATGCCCATTTGGGGTTGCTCTTAATGATTGTGTATCTTCACTAATTAAAGACATTTGCCTTATGCCATCCTCATGTTTTGCAAGCAAAAAGCTCGTTAGAAAGCCAGAATGAGATTCCTCTCCCCACCCCCACGACTGAACAAAGGCAATAAAACTGAGTTTCTGGATCAGATTTAGATTTCTATGAGAACACAGGATAGGTCATCCTATTTTTCACAATCATGCACAATTACTATGGAGTACAGACAAGTTGGCAGCTTTTTCTCTCAGGCAGTTAAAGATATGTACAGTAAGAAGTATTGTTGACTGCTAATGAGGTTAAATTTGTGATGACCTCCACTATATTTTCCCATTTGGAATGCACCATGCCTTCTTACATAGTAATGTTAAACATGTGTTTTGGTTAGTGTAAAATGTAACAGGAAGATCCTTATGTGGAATAACCAGAGGATTGGTCTGAAGCAAGGAACCAAGAGGTTGAGTTTCCCCCTTAGAAATTCCACTGACCCAATCCTTGCTATCAACAAGAGAACCTGGAAACCCATGTCTGTGGGTATCAACCGTGTCATCTACAGCATGAAACTTGATTATATAGTCTTGTCCATTATAGTGAGATGGTTCAAATTTAGATCAATCCATGGTTTTGTCAATACCACTCAATAAATCATGGTTGGCTAGCAAAACCTGGATTTGAAGACATGATCTGAAACTTACTCGCAAGCTGTGGTTTCTTCTTAACATCTGAACTGAAAAACCAGAGTCAGGGACACTTTTGGAAGATGCCATCTGGGCTAATACCTACAGAAGAATTAAGGAATGTGGGGCAAGAGAGATAGTGGACTAACAAGAAGGTGCCCTCTTTTTTCTCTGCATTTGAGTGCCTGTCTTCAAGCAAGTTGCCTGATGTACCTGGAGCACCTCCTTATCTTTGTGGAATGTGAGAGAAGAGGGGTTCAACACGTAGGACAGTTAGATCACTGGCGCGTCAAGAGGTGGCAATGGAAACCAGAAAGGCTGTCTTCTGGATGATGCAGAGGACTGCAGAAGCCATGGATTCAAATGGCTTCTGTATAAGTGCATGAAGGATGACGGAAAGGACTGATGCGGTCAGATTAACAAAGACTTTGATGAACCTTCAAATGAGAAGGTGAGAGAAGACAGAGCAGCACTAGAGTGGGGCATGGAAGGCAGAAATGGTGGATGAATAGACATGAATACACCTTTTGACTCCTTTCCTTTTCAGGGAATAGAGGAGTAAGCGTATTTATATAGCAGAGGCTGTATCTGGTGGGAAATTATGTTCTGTTGTGAAGGTAGAGAAGGCTGCTCATTTTGTATTGTATGATCTGCGAGTGGCAGGTTTCAGAGAAGTGTTGACGATCTATTGGAGTTTGTGGGGCATATCAGTTAGTGTGGGGGAAATGAATGGATCCCCCATGCTGTGAGGCAGAGTGTATGTACTTTTGGATGGAGGATTGTCCCTCAATCCCAAGAGATGATGTCAGGATAGAAGGGTAGGCATATAAAAGTTCTGTTGGAGAGATTGAGGAGATGGGAGAACCAGGGCTGCCTAGGCTACCAAGGTGTGATGAGAATAGAGTCTGTGTGATTCTGATGGATCTTTGGTACAACCGTCAAGATCAGGGGAAATGGGGGGAATGGCTAAAAGAGGCTCCTGTTTCACAGCAGGAGGTAGGCATCCCCCTGTGGATCATCTGCCCATGTTGCCTCTGGAACAGAAAAAAGTACAAACAGTGCTGTCATGTGTGGACAACAAGTCTATTTGGGGATGTCCCTATTGCTTCCACAGGGATCCTATCAAGTTCCCACTCATGACATAAAGTCTGACTGAGAGTATCTGCCAGGATGCTATCAGTACTGGCAACAGGGATCGTTCAGAGAGTGGAATGTCGAGCGATGCATGTGACAATAAGTATGCATGGGACAGGGCTCAATTCTGGAACAGAGAGGAGGTCTCTTCTAGCAGGGTTTCAGAAGGAGTGGTCCTCTTTATGGCACCAGGAGGAGGTATGGTTTCAAACTTGATTTGGTATCCGTGGAGGATGATGGAAAGTACCCAAGAATCCAAGGTGATGTCAGTTCAAGGATGGAAAAAGGCCTGGAGCTGGTGGTTGAAGGATGGATTGGTAGAGTCAAAGGAGTCACAAGCATCTCCCAGATTCTTCCTAGTGTTTCCGGCACTGGAGCATAAGTGTCGCAGGGCCAGGGTGCTGGGTTTGGGAGACAGGATCTTGC